AAAAAGACCAAAAAAAACAAAAAACCAAGGCATCAAATTAAAGGCCACATATATTGTCCTTTACAGAATGTTCGTGAGATTAGTCTCTTCAGTTGTGGAGCTAGTTGTCTCTTCGGGCCCTTATCTGAAACAACTTTCTGATTGGTTTCTTGGCCTCAACTCTTTCTAGTGCCAGATTAACCTTGCTAAAAGCCTGATTTCATAGTTTCCCTTTACTACAAATTTTCAGTTGTCCCCATTTCTTGGAGGGTAAAGTTCAGAGGCCTCATTTCTGTGATCTGACCTTGTCTACCCCATTCAAGCATATTTCTATCACCAAATCCATTGCCTTGCTATGGTGTGAATACACAGACCTGTTATTATTGTTTCTCTGGTGCTGGAGATTGAACCTTGAGACTCATACATACTAGGTAAGTATTCCATTACTCAGACACAGTCCTAGCTCTGTCATTTATTTGAATACCTGGTTCCTTTTCCTTTCTTAATCTAGGCCTGTCTGCTGTTCCTTCCTCCACTTGCCTTCCACCTGTGCCAGTTTTACTACTATTTATGTTCCAGTGACATGTCTGCAAGGCTTTTCCCATTCCTTCTGCCCATTGCTAATCTCCTTCCCTTGGACGTTTTTCTCTTTAATATCTCTGCCATTGTTTTTGCACTTAAGTGCCATCTGCCATTCGGTACTTTACAAGGCATTTAGATGGTACCTAGAGGGGAGAAGATCCAATGATGATAATTACCATTTATAGACTGGAGAGATGACTCAGCAGTTAAGAGTGCTTGCTGTTCTTGCAGGGAACCTGAGGGCTTACAACCACCTGCCTCCACCTCCCAAGTAATGGAATTATAGGCAGGCCTCACCACATCCAGTCTAGCTTGACTTTTTGAATTATGCTCTTGTGATTTCAGGATTTTGGATTATTGATGTCCAGTGAGTAAAATCTATGCAAATATTCAATATCCCCACCGCCCCAGTTTGGAACTCTTTTGGTCCCAAATCCTTTCAGAAAAGGCTATGTAACCTGCAGTTGATGGGTTAATTCAAACTGCCATACTTGGTAAACCTGTGTGGAATGTAGTCAGAATTGAGATTTAGTAGTAGCTGACTCTTTCCTTACCATGGAAAGAGGGTTGCTAGAAGGAATGAATTGGTTTTTGAGGGAATAGGATGTGGCTGAGAGATTAAAATTACAGTCTTAAAATATCAAAAGCCCTCTGATTTGGAGAACCTGTAGACTTGTATCCATAAAAATACCATATACTAAATACCATATACTAAGCAGAGTGTAGTGCCACTTATTTTTTTATGTGTATTACCTGCATGTATGTAAGTGCAGTCATATCATGCAATGCCTGCAAAGGTCAGAAGAGGGTATCAGATCCCCTGGAACTGGAGTTTTGGATGGTTAGCCACCCTGTGGGTCCTCTGCAAGAGTAGCCAGCACTCCTTAACCACTGACCCATCTTTCCAACCCTGTATAGTGCCACTTTTGAAAATAAATATTGCTATTCTCTTTAAAAATGCACTAAAACACAAATTAGACTTAAAGTGTAGATATTTTAAAGCACAGATTGTCAGGATCAGTTTTGTTAATATAAATAGATAAAACCAACAGACAAATGAAAAAGTACATTCCATCGTTTATAGATGAACTATATGGAAAATTAGAGAACCTGTACTCCTAGATCCATTGATATTTTTCTTTTGGGATTTAATTTTAGAATTACTATGTTGAGGCCTCAGGGTTCAAAACTAAATTTGATGTGTCTTGTAATACTGTGGATAGAGAATGGAAGAAGCTGTTACCAAATTCAGCATGTTAGCAGCCACTACAGCCTCACTGTCCTTCCACAACTACGACAGAGACTTAGGGGATGGTGTTCTCATCCTTAGGTGTTATTGAGCATTAAAGTGGATTGTCTACTAGCCTTGAATTCATCCCAGTCTGCCTTAACCTTTTTTTTTTTTTTTTTTTTTTTTTTTAGAAATGGTCCATGGTCTCCCTGTAGCCCTAGCTGGCCTGTAGACCAGGCTGGACTTGATCTCACAGAGATCCATCTGCCTCTGCTTTCTCAGTGCTGGGATTAAAGACATGTACCACCATGCATGGCTGCCTTAATCTTTTTAACTAATCATATTTAAGTTGTGAACTCAAAGCCTGTCCTTGAACTCACAAATTTCCTTTTAATTTTTATGTGTATGAGTGTGTGTAGGTATACCCATGTCATGCAGTGTCTGCAGAGGACAGAAGACTGTCGGATCCCCTGGAGCTAGAGTTATGGATGGTTGTTAGCCACCATGTGGGTGCTAGGAGTCAAACCCAAGTCTTCTGCAATAACAGCCAGTGCTCTTAACCACTGAGCCACCTCTCCAGCTCCTTATTTTTATTTTTTTATTCCTAGGAGGCTAATGCATGTTTTTCAGAAATTATTCAAGTTTGTGGAAGGAGTTGTGTGTACTTGTTTGTTTTTTGAGACAGGGTTTCACTCTGTAGTTCACGGAACTCTGTGCATAGCTCAGGGTGGTCTTGATTTGAAGTCTGCCTGCTTCAGCTCCCGAGTGTGCTGGGATTGTAGGTTTATACTACCATTCTAGGCTTGGTTTGGGATTTTTAAAGTATGACCTTCTATGTACTCCTAGGATAATCTAAACAGGAAATTGTATCCTCACCTGAATTAAGCGATAATCTGGATGGCCTCTTTATTTTTGTTACTTGTTTTGGTTTGGGTTTGGGGGGGTTTTTTTGTTGGTTTGTTTTTGAGACAGGGTCGGTCTCATTGTATAACTCAGACTGTCCTTCAAATAGCTATATAGCCTAGGCAAGCTGCAAATACACATAAATGTAGTCTGAAAAAAATTTGAAGATCATAGTTTTGTATAGATGAGGGGCCAAGTAGAAAACAAAATATAAAATAATGGATTTCTGTATGTACCCACTTGAGAGTGCTCACTGCGCTAGAGTGAAACCTGAGAGTTACTAAGAATAACTTCCCATATCCAGGCAGTCAGATCTGGGGTGTGGGAGAGAACAGTCCTGACTCAGATGCTGTGCTCCCTGCCCAGAATACTGAGCAGGACCGTCTATTTCACCTTATTCTTTAGACAGTTTAGATTCATCGCTTGCTTTCATTGAAGAGCTTTTGGAGGACACAGAGAATTTTGGCACTGCTTGGAAAATATACTTGTGTTAGGTTGGATTGTAAACACTTGCCCTGCTTCCAGAAGAGTAGGACCTAAACCATTTCCCTTAAAGTAAGTGATTTTTTTTTTTAAGTTTAGTTTTCAGCTTTACTTGTTTGTTGAGTAGCAAGATTTTTTATTGCAATAGAGAGGACATATGTTAAAAAGTGAAGCTATCATTGTCTTTTGTTGGTTTATCTTATGAATAAATAGCATTTGAGATATTAGAACAAACATTTCTCAAGTTGCTGTGTCTTCTTGCTTGTTTGTTCTTGTTTGTTTTTTCTGGGTTTTTTTTTTTTCTCCTTTTTGGGGTAGTCAGGGAGCTGAGACATTTTTACTCTGTAGCCATGGCTGGCCTGGACCTCTCACTGTAGCCCATTATTGGCCTCAAACTCAGGACAGTCTTCCTACTTTGGCTCCCAGATGCTAGGATTACCAGCATCAGCTCCCAGCTTTTACCTCATTCTTCTAATAGTGCCTCTTTGCTTGGTCTGAGGACAGGCAGAGAACATTTGGCAACCAAACTTAAGAAAGCGTGCTGCTTTCATTTTGACTCATGAAAGACTTCTCTCCACAGATTTTTGCAGTTCAAGTGGCAGCCCTTCCTTCCAGCCTATCAAAAGCCATATCACCATCCCAACAGCTCATGTGATGCCATCTACTTTGGGGGTCTCTCCTGCCAAGCCAAATTCTACACCTGCTGGACCCTCTTCTTCTAAGCTTCCTTTGTCAGGATTGGCTGAAAGTGTGGGGATGACAAGAAATGGAGACTTTGGTGCAGTGAAACGTTCTCCAGGCCTATCAAGAGATCTCATGTATCTCTCTGGTGCTACTGGAGAAAATGGGATTCAGCAGTCCTGGTTTCCAGCAGTGGGCCATGAAAGAGAGAGCGAGATGAGGAAATTTGATATTCCTAGCATGGAATCTACTCTTAACCAGTCGGCCATGGTAGAGACATTGTATTCAGATCCCCACTTCCAATGCCACTTCTCCAACCCAAGATCTGATACAAACAAGGAGTTATACAAAGTATTACCAGAGTCCAAGAAGGCACCAGGCAGTGGTGCAGTATTTGAGCGGAATGGGCCACATACTAGCAACAGTGGGGTGGTCCCTTTGGGACTCCAGCCTGCTCCTGGGCTCTCCAAGCCACTATCCTCTCAGGTGTGGCAACCAAGTCCTGAGCCTTGGCATCCTGGAGAACAGTCTTGTGAACTCAGTACTTGTCGGCAACAGCTGGAATTGATTCGTTTACAGATGGAACAAATGCAGGTAGAGACCCTTTTCTTTTCATACTATTCATTCTTAGCATTGCATAGACTTTGTCCTATAAGTTTTAGTTCTAAAGAGAACATTTGTGAAGAAAGGTAGTATTTGTAGACAGGAAATGAAAACATGAGCTCTTGACCACTGAATATGTTGGTCTGATAAAACACCAGATAGGTTCTCCAAAGTAGAGTGCCACAGGACAAGCCTATAAAGTTAGGACACCAACACTAACTGCACACTCACATAAACTGGTTACTTTCACATACAAAATTTTATTCTCATAGCACCTGATGAGGTGATGGTAGAAACCTTCTTGGCTTGTAGAATAAATCTGCCCAGAGTCACATAGCAGGTAAGCAGCAGAGCTAGAGTTGAAAGATCGTGGGGCTTTTTAGACCAGGAGTGGTGGCGCACACCTGTAGTCCCAACACTTGGGAGGCAGGGGCAGGCAGATCTCTGTGAGTTCAAGGCCAGCCTGGTCTACATAGGGAGTTCCAGGACAGCTGGGGCTACAGGGAGACCCTGTCTCAAAAGGACAAAAAAAAAAGATTGTATGCCGGGCGTGGTGGCGCACGCCTTTAGTCCTAGCACTTGGGAGGCAGAGGCAGGTGGATCTTTGTGAGTTCAAGGCCAGCCTGATCTACATAGTGAGTTCAGGTCAGCTGGGACTACAGGGAGACCCTGTCTCAAAAAGACAAAAGAAAAAAAGATTGTGGGGTTTTTTTTGTTTTTAAATTTTTTATTTTATATGTTTGAGTAATGCCTGCATGTATATAAGTGCACCGTGTGTGCAGTGCCCGTGGAGACCAAAAGAGGCATCAGATCCCCGGGAACTGAAGTTAAGGACAGTTGTTAACTGCCATTTGAGTGCTAGGAACTGAACCCAGGTCCTCTGCAAAAGCAGCCAGTACTCATAACCACTGAGCCATCTCTCTAGCCTCTAAAGATTGTCTTAGGTAAACGTACTTGTGGTACGTTCCATCCATGGATCCTATGTAAAGGAGTTGGTTGCCTTCTGACATCCACATCACCCACATTCATATTCTATCTCTAGTCTCATAGTTCGCTCTTTGTCTTCTATCACACACAGTTGTCTTTGAAGCTGGCGTGATGGCACATGCCTGCCTCAGGAGGCAGATGCAGCAAGATTGTGATTTCAAGGCCAGCCTGATGTACATAATGCAGGCCAGCCAGGGGTACATAGCTAGATCCTGCCTCAAAAAACCATGGGGAAAAATTGTGAATTCCTGTGTTTTTTTTCTACTAAGCTGCCTTTATTTTTTCCTTGTGCTGCTGGAGAGTCAGAAGGGAGGAAACAGGACCTATTCTCCGTCCCTGGTTGATGAAGGCATCTCAGCTCCTGATTTGCCTCTCTTGTCAGATAAGAACTTAGTAACAAGAGATTTTTCTGAACAGTGTGTGTGGTTGGCAGAAATCTCCTTGGCAGTTTCTTTCCACTCATGCATCAGAGCTAAAATTATTTCAGAAACATTGACTTTACCAGGTTGAGCCAACCTAGGCCTGGACTTCCGACCTAACTGGGTACTGTGCAGGTGTTTTCAGCTGCCTGTGGTCAAGCTGAAACCCCTCTGGGCTGTTTGTCTTTCAGCTTCAGAATGGAGCCATCTGTCACCGCCCTGCTGCTTTTGCTCCTTTACTACCCACCTTAGAGCCAGCACAGTGGATCAGCATCTTGAACAGTAATGAGCATCTTCTGAAGGAAAAGGAGCTCCTCATTGACAAGTAAGATGGCAGGGGTACCATAAGGCTAGGCTCTGCTCTCCCATGCCCCACTGAGGACTCCTAATGGGTCTTCGCCAGGGCAGATGTGTCTGTCCCCCACCCCATCCCACCCCCTGTGTAGACCTATGCCTTGCCTCAAAATAGACCCTGGTTGATGTGCAGTCTAGTCTTGACTCTCCCTAATGTGATAGGCCAGTTGTTCTCGACAGGAGCTCTGGTTCATCTCAGCTAATCTTTTCTCATTTTTCCCAGTCTTTTTTCTCAATTGGTCTTTCTTCTTTAGCAAAATCTGGTATCTGGCATGTGTTGGTGGTATAATGGTGAGCATAGTGGCCTTCCAGAATAAGTCTAGAATCAAGGTCTAGAGATTGTTACTCCTCTACCTAAAGAAAATGGCTCATACTGTAAAGGGGTTAGTGTCAGGACTCCCAGATCTGACTCTGTTGCCTTTTGCAGGCAGAGGAAACATATCTCTCAACTGGAGCAGAAAGTACGAGAGAGTGAACTACAAGTCCACAGTGCCCTTTTGGGCTGCCCTGCCCCCTTTGGGGATGTCTGCTTGTTGAGGCTACAGGTAAGCACGGCAGCCAGGACAGCATTCTGCTCATTATAACTTTGTTTTCCTTGGACTTAGCCATCTAAGAGATACAAAAGGAATCAAGTGGTAAGGGTTACCTGCCCTTAAAGAGTAATGATCTTAGTTGTAAAGCATTCTTTGCTGTACCCTTGTGAGGGTAGAAAAGACTTGAAGGGAGAACCAGGTGAAAGTCCAGGTGCCTTGGTGTCAGGAAAGGAAGATAGAGCAAGGTAGATAGTGATGTCCCAGCATTGGGTAATATTCTTAAAAGTCCTAATCTGCCTCCCTGCCCAAATAGAGAAGAAAGACAGTGGCAGTGGGAGATTGAGAACTGTTCTCTTTTTTATTCATTCAAACTGGGAACAGCTAAAGGAAACTATATTCTCATTGAGGTCTGTGTCCAGTGGGGATTGACAGCTTGAGAAGGTTGCTTTGTTAGCCAACCTCTACGATTTGAGATTTGAATGATGGATATTAGATAATAGTACTGGCTTTGCCACTTAATGGACCCATTAAAACATTGTTCCATCTAATGGCATGAGAATGTCCTCTAATTTTCAGATGAAAAGTCAGTGAGGAGGAAGGACTTCCCTAGGATCATGTAGTATGAGCAGAGGGAGCCAGGCCTCAAACATGAGTCTTATGGTGGCTTGCCCATGGTTCTTCTATAATTCTGCAACTCCTCGGGTACTGCTTTTAAATAGTACCTCTCAATCTTAAGTACACATCGGAATCTCTTGAGAGGCTTACTGTACCACAGATTATTGGGATCTATCCCTAGAGTAGGCAAATGAGTAAGATTCCAAAATGTATACAAATACCAGTAACATGACAGAGAGGCTGGGGGTCCTAGGGTCATACTTTGAGAAGTACTGGAGAAAATCCTTGAAAAAATGATACTTGACCTTGAAGTGTGATGAGGAATATGTAAATTACAAAGAATTGTATAGGTCGGGAACAGTTACATATTAAGAATGTTTTGGCAGGAATTGCAGCGAGAAAACACTTTCTTACGCACACAATTTGTACAGAAGACCGAAGCCTTGAGCAAAGAAAAGATGGAGCTTGAAAAGAAACTATCTTCTTCAGAAGTTGAAATGCAGCTCATCAGGGAGTCTCTCAAAGTGACACTACAAAAGCACTCAGAAGAAGGGAAGAAACAGGAAGAAAGGGTGAGAGGAGAAGCTTACGGCTTTCTAAATCACAAGGGAGTCGGCAGTCAGCCCTGTCTGCCAGCTCTCTGCCAGATAGCCTAGTCTATTTCTAGTCTGTTCCTGGAACCAGAAGCCAGTGAGGTGAGGCCCTTCATCAACTTTTCACAGAGGCCTATCCAGAAATGGGGCTCCTACTTTCTGTTTCATTTCCACAAGACTACTGAAGGTTGTACAGTCCCTCACCATCCCAGGTTCTATTGTGCTACCAGTTACCTTATGGGGAAAATCAGCCTGGGCAGTCATAACAGACAACACTGTTGCAAGAGGTTTAAATGCCTGTGTTAAATTTGCTCTGTTCAGTCTGGTTTCTCCTCATCCTACGCGAAAAATAAAGATTTCATGTATGCACCTAGATTGGGAGTTTGTCAAAGCTCTTAGATTTCCTTAGGGAAGACAAGAGAGATGACTTAGCTGTTAAGAGCACTTACTGCTTTTCCAGAGGACCCAGGTTTAGTTCCCAGCACCCACATGGTGGCTAACACCTGTCCTTAACTCCAGTTTCAGGGGATCTGACACCCTCTTCTGGCCTCTGCAGGCACTGTGCACACACTTAAATACATGCAAGCAAAATAATCATACACATAAAATAAAAATAAATAAAATCTTTAAGCTGGGTGTGGTGGTGTATACCTTTAATCCCAGCATTGGGGAGGCAGAGGTAGGCGAGGCTCTGTAAGCCTGGTCTACATAGTGAGTTGCTGGAGCTACAAGGAGACCCTGTCTTAAAAAGACAAAACAAAAAAGGAACTGGAGAGATGACTCGGGTTAAGTGTACTGGCTGTTCTTGCAGAGGACCTGGGTTCAATTCCCAGCACCACATGGCGGCTAACAACCATCTGTTACTCCAGTCTCAGGGGATCTGACTCTGTCTTCTGACCTCTGTGGGCATTGCATGACATAGGTGCATTTACATCCATGCAGGGAAAACACTCATACACATAAAATAAAATTTTTTGCCAGGCGTGGTGGCACATGCCTTTAATCCCAGCACTCAGGAGGCAGGGGCAGGAGGATCTCTTTGAGTTCATGGCCAGTCTGGTCTACATAGTGAGTTCCAGGACAGCTGGACCAAAAAGAAAATTTCTTAAGGGGGTGGGGGGTGGAGAAATGGCTCAGTGGTTAAGAGCACTGCTCTTGCAGAAAACCCAGGTTCTGTTCCCAATACCCACATGGTGGCTAACAATCATCCATAACGCCAGCCAGTGCTCTTAACCACTGAGCCATCTCTCTAGCCCCTATTGTAAACCTTTCTTAACAGGTCAGACTGATTGTATGTCTATAGGAACATCGTGTGTACTACTGAAATTCAGTTCTGATGTAGACCCCTTGTAGTTAAACCACAGATTTTAAAAATATCTTATTCTTTTGGTCCTTTTGAGACAGGGTCTCCCCCGTCACCCCAGCTGGCCTGGAACTCACAGAGATCTACCTGCCTCTGCCTCCTGAGTGCTGGGATTAGAGGTGTGAGCCACCATGCCAAGGAAAAAATATATTTATTTATTTTGGTCTTTTTGAGACAGGGTCTCCCTGTAGCCCCAGCTGTCCTGGAACTCACTATGTAGACCAGGCTGGCCTTGAACTCACAGAGTTCCACCTGCCTCTGCCTCCCCAGTGCTGGAATTAAAGGGGTGAGCCACCACACCTGGCTTATTTATTTTATGAGTATATTACCTACATGGATGTCAGTGTACCCATGTCATGCATTGCCCCTGAAGGTCAGAAGAGGGCATCAGATTCCCTTGGAACTGGAGTTACAGATGGTTGTTAGCCAGCATGGGATACCGGAATCAAACTCAGGTCTTCTGCAAGAGTAGCCAGTGATCTTAACCTCTGAGCCGTCTCTCAAGCCCCAAACCACAGATTTTTAAAACATGCTGTCCCCAACACAATACTTTTTTTGTTGTTTCTGTTTTTTGAGACAGGCTCTCTCATTATATAGTACTCACTGGCTTGGAATTCTGTGTAGACCAGACAGGCCTCTGCCTCCTGAGTATTGGGTTAAAGGCATGCACCACCACACCCAGCTTGTTTTATTTTTTTGAGATATAGACCCAGAATGTTGTTCTGGATGGACCTGAATTCTTAGATTTAAGTGATCCACCCTCTTAAGCCACCTTCATAGCTAGGGCTACTAGGTGTACACCACCATGCCCACCCTGATTATGGCATTGTTCTAAAAGATGCAATTCAGGTACAGCCAGATGAGGAGACACATAGGGTGAGCTCTAGGGAGGTTCTAAAAGCTAGGACAGCTCAAGGAGTCAGATGCGTAGCACATCCTGGCACATTCATGTGTTCATCAGGAAGCCTTGCCAGGCTTAGGTCTCACCATGTAAGTCCTGCCACCCCTCCCTTCCATGCAAGAAGTTAGACACACAGTTGTTGGACTTTCTGATGGCCAGTTTCATTCTGATTCATCTTGGCCCTCTAGGTTTAACAAAGACATTCATATCCTAAGAAAATTATAAGGGTGTTAGTGGTTTCACCCAAGAACTTATCATATAAATGCTTTACTGTATGACAGCAATACTGCCAGTTTTTCAAAACTGCCTCAGGGCCCTTCATATTCCTACCCTTGCCTAGAAAGTTCAGGCCAGTGTCCCAAACCAAAAATGGCAAAATTTGATTAGTTTCCTGTCTTCATTGCAGTAGAACAACATGCATGGCTCCAAGACAGAGACAGTGGTCACTTTGAAAGTGTCCAGTGTGGGGCTGGAGAGATGGCTCAGCAGTTAAGAACACTGACTGTTCTTGCAGAAGACCTGGGTTCGTATCCCAGCACCCACATGGCAGCTAACAACTGTCCATAACTCCAGTTCCAAGGGATCTGACAGCCTCTTCTGTCCTCCACAGTCATTGCACGACACAGGAGCGCTTACCTACATGCAGGCATAACACTCATACACGTAAAATTAAAATAATAAATTAAACATTTTTTTAATGTCCAGTATCTAAGAGGAATAAATTAGAAACAGACTTTTGACATTTCTTTCTCCAGGTCAAAGGTCGTGATAAACATATCAATAATTTGAAAAAGAAATGTCAGAAGGAATCAGAGCAGAACCGGGAGAAGCAACAGCGTATTGAGACCTTGGAGCGCTACCTAGCTGACCTGCCCACCCTGGAAGACCATCAGAAACAGAGCCAGCAGGTAGCAGCAATCTCTGGCCGTAACTGCAGCAAGCAGGGAATGGCCAGGCATGGGAACTTATCTCAGGCTCCTTGAAAGGGATATCCCAAAGGAGTCCTGTCTAGATTCATAATTGGGCTGAAAATTCTTTTGACGTTCCCACTCAGTCTTCTTGGCTAAACATGGGGTCCTGTCTCTTAGCTTAAGGATGCTGAGTCAAAAAGCACAGAACTGCAAGAGAGAGTGACTGAACTGGAGACTTTGCTGGAGGAGACCCAGGCAGCCTGCAGAGAGAAGGAGGTTCACCTGGAAAGCCTGAGACAGAGAGAAGCAGAATTCTCTGCTAGACATAGGTAATATCTGCATGGGAAGGGCGGGAGCTCCGTTCTGATGCAGTGCTTGCTGCCCACTTGAGCTAACCTGTGTGATTCCAGGAGAATGTGCAAGCCCTTCACTTCTTAGGGCGTCATTTTCTTTGGATTGTGAATAAAAGGAAAGTTGCTTTGGGGCAGGGAATTTGTCTTTGTGGCGTAGTAGGACCTTAACATTGTATGTTTGGGAGAATCCATCTCAATGCCTGACAGAAAATATGCCTTGTATATGTTTATGTTGGTTTGATGAAAATACCTTGTAGGAAATGAGATCATCTATTTTTTTAGAAGTGAATCCTGGCACTAAGGTCTAGGGATTTTCCACATTTTGAGTCTTGTCAAGTAAAGGCTACCAGAAATTTATTGGTGAGTCCTTGGAATTGCTTTTTGATTTTCTTTCTTTTGGAAACAGTCTCCTGTAGCCCCAGTTGGCCTGGAACTCACTATGTAGACCAGGCTGGCCTAGATCTTTCAGAGATCTGCCCGCCTGCCTCTGCCTCCCTAGTGCTAGAATAGGTGTGCACCACCACACCCAACTCTAGAATTGCTTTTGATTGTTAGGACGTTTGCTGAGAACAAAAGATTCCATAAAGTACTCCAGGGCATCTTGGGGCTTCTTCCATATTAATAACAATTCCTAAAAATGATGGCTGTGTTTCAGCAGCTTCTTGTACTGAGTTTCTAATGGGTGAATTGGATTTCTCATCCTGTATTCAGCTACAGTGACCCTGTTGTTTCTCTCCACAGATGAGCCATACTAGAAACGTTGTAGGAACCCATGGGAGGAGGCATTTGTTGGGAGTCAGAATCAGAGTTAGGGTACTGTTTGAGTTTCTTCTCTGTTCCTGGGATAAAATACTCTGACTAAAAGCAACTTAGAGGAAGAAAGGGATTATCTCATTTTACACTTCTAGAACACAGTCCATCTTCAAGGGAACTCCAAGTAGGAACTGGAAGGCAGGAACCATGAAAGAGTGCTGCTTACCGACTTGCTCACAGGCTTGTGCTTAACTGTCTTCTTTATTATAATTATTTTATTTTATTATGTGTATGAGTGTATTGCCTGCATGTGTATAATATGCCCATGTCGTGCAGTGCCCAAGGAGTCAGAAGAAGGTGTCAGATCCCCTGGAACTGGAGTCATGGGCAGTTGCTAGTCGCCATATTGGTGCTGGGAATCGAACTCGGGTCCTCTTCAAGAGCAGCCTGTGTGCTCTTAACTGCTGACCCATCTCTCCTGCCCTTCTTTCTTTTTTTTAAATTATGTGTATGAATGTCTGAGTATGTGTCCATGAGGATAGATGTCCACAGAGACCAGAGGTATAGGATCCTATGGAGCTAGACGTAAGGCAGTTGTGAGTTACCTGACACGGGTGCTGGGAACTGAACTTGGGTCCTTTGCAAGAGCCATATGCTCTCTCTCAGCCATCTCTCCAGCCCCTGACTAGCTTTTTGGTACACCTGAGGACAACTTGCCTAGAGATGGTGCTGCCCACAGTGGGCTGGGCCATCTTATATCAATAATCAGACAACTCCCCATAGCCAGTCTGATCTAGGCAATTCCTCAGTCAAGGCTTTCCTTTCAGATGACTCTAGGCAGTTGATAAAGCTACCTAGAACAACGGCAAAGCTGGCTTTGCCCTAGACCGTAGTACCAAGAAAAAAAAGATTTTTTTTGTTATGATTGATCTATATTGTTTTGGTTTGTGACAGGGTCTTGCTCTGTATCCCAGGTTGACTTAATATTGGCTGTGAGATCCAGTGACTCCTCCTTAGTTTTCCGGGTGCTGGGATTTTAGGTGCGTTACCACTATGCCAGCTGAAAGACTTCTTTAGGATTGTCCAGAGTTTCTGCAATGTATGTGTATGACTTAGTTATCGAAACATATGTGATGAATGTTTTATTTTTAAATATCAAAACAAAGAATATAAGGACCTTCAGCAAATACAGAATTGATGGCATACTGTATAGATTCTGGCCCCTGGTGAAGGAAACAATAAGTTGAGTAGTATCTTTCTGGAACAAACAAATCACATCATCCTCAGCTATGGCTAGGAGGGCCTAAGTAAGTATTTTGCTCCAAAGACATAGAAATAGCAGAGCTAGGAGCTAAAGCCACATAGTTCTGATTTCAGAGTCCTAGAAAACATTCGTTGCCTTTCAGCCTGCAAGATAAGCAGTCTGTGGAAGAAGCCAGTGGAGAAGGTCCCAGAGTGGAAATGGAGGCCCGGCAGAAGGAATATGATTCCCTCCGAAAGGTGATTAAGGGTGTCCAGCCTCTAGCCCGAGGTAGGCTGGGAGGAAGGAGATTATATACCTGGGAAGGAACCATGAATTTTTGGTCTTCAGCTGCCTAGGATCTGCTTCCAAGAGTTTTTCTCTCTTTTCTGAGAAGTCAGCCTTGCATCATAAATTTTCATTTTAGGTACTCACTTAGGAGAAACACCCAAAAGTTAGGGGTGACATGCATATTCGTACCAAACTGGATGACCAGAATGGTGCACTGAAGTCTACACTGGGGTCCTTGAAAAACTGCTTGTATTCATCAAAAAGTTTAACCAGGGAGTTGGCCTGGTGTCTCAACTCAGCATAGAATAGGATCCAGTAACCTGCCGGAGAGACCGGTTACAGGTTTAGCAGAAACAATGGTTCAGAGAATACATGAGTTCTTGAGGGACAGGAAGCTGGGACTGTTGAGGATCTCTCCTTGGATAACTACACCCATCCAACCATACCCATCATAGCCCCAGATAGGGTTAGTAAGATGGCTCAATAAGGTGAAATTTTAGCCCATGTCCTTTTCCAAAGAATCTCCATGTATATTGACTATGTATAAAGTTAATCCACTGGCCTGCAGCCATTAGGAGAAGGCCTCCCTCTCCGCAGTAGTGGTCATGGATCTTACTGCATTCCTCTGTAAAACCTCTCTGTGACTGGAGCACAGGAGTTGCAGGAATGTGAAATTAGATCGAGTCTGAGTTCAGATTTCTGTAGATCATCTAACTGGTCGTCACTATGGTCTTCTAATAATCTGTAGCTGATATTGCTGATCACTAACTAGACCATAAATCTAAGTGCAGCCCCTTGCCCACATCAGGCTTGTGCTTGAAGATTCTCTTAACAACTCTGCCTTCCAGATTGTAGAGAAGCAACAGCTGAAGATGGAGCAGTTGCACTCACAAGTACAGGTGAGTAGGCAGTCTGAGTGTATGATGGATAGAATTTAACTAGTGAAAATTCTAGAATTCAGCTAACATTTCATTCCCTTCTTGCCATGTGATTTACTTATTAGGTATACAGGAAGAGTGAAACTCAGACAGTGCTTTTGTGCCTCCCGTCTTGTTGAAAGGACAAATGAAGGGCCGGGCGTGGTGGTACACGCCTGTGGTCCCAGCACTTGGGAGGCAGAGGCAGGTGGATCTCTGTGAGTTCAAGGCCAGCCTGGTCTACATAGTGAGTTCAGGTCAGCTAGGACTACAGGGAGACCCTGTCTCAAAAAGAAAAAAAGAAGAAAGGACAAATGATAGTTTCAGCACAGTACCTCACATCACCTTGGAGTGAGCACAGAGTCAGTGGGAGGAGGGGAGGTCAAGGACAGGTTTCTGGAGATGCCGAGCCTTGAAGGAAGAGGAGTTAGCTGGGCAGTTAGTAAGCTAGGGAGGTGCTGGAATCCCATAGGAAGAACATCAAGACATGAAACAGCACAGTTCAAACATGGACCTGCAAGCAGTTTGTTAACGTACAGACGTGTATCTCGCCTGGCAGGTAGACAAACATTTTGAGAAAATGTGTGGTTAGATGATTTCATCTTTGTGTAAACATAACCGAGTACTTGCACAAACTAAGACACTGTAACACTAGACTGTCTCATATGTAGACTAACATTGATCAAAAACATCCTTACAATATGTGGCTATATTGAGTGGTGCTGGGCGTGGTGGCACACGCCTTTAATCCCAGCACTCGGGAGGCAGGTGGATCTCTCTGAGTTCGAGGCCAGTCTAGTCTACATAGTGAGATCCAGGACAGCTGGGGCTACAGGGAGATCCTGTCTCAAAACGACAAAAAAAAGTCATGAGTGGTAAGAAGTGGTAAGCTGGGCATACTGGGTTATAGAGTCTTGTCTCTCCAGCTGTGTTAGCTTTTTTTTTTTTTTAGTCTTTTTTGAGACAGGGTCTCTCTGTAACCCTAGCTAGCCTGGATTCGCTATGGAGACCAGGCTCTCCTCAAACTCAAAGAGATCCGCCTGCCTCTGCCTCCCGAGTGCTGGGATTAAAGGTGCACACCACCACGCCTGGCCTAGCTTTTCTCTTTTTTTTTTTTTCATTTTTATTTTATGTGTATGAGTGTATTGCCTGCATATATGTGAGTGCACTCATGTTGTGCAGTGCTGCGGAGGTCAGAAGAGGGCTTCAGATTCCCCTGGAACTGGAGTTAAGGACGGTTTGTAGCCGCCGTGTGGGTGCTGGGAATCAAACCCGGGTCCTCTGCAAGAGCAGTCAGTGCTCTTAACCGCTGAACCATCTCTCCAACCCCCTAGCTTTTCATTTTTATAATTATTTTTTTTTATGTATATGAGTGTTTTGCCTGCATGTATGTAAGTATACCCATGTCATGCAATGCCTGTGGAGATCAGAAGACAGCATCAGAGCTTCTCTGGAACTGAAGGGACAAAGTATTAGCCACTATGTGGGTGCTGGGAACTGAACCTGGGTCCTCTGCAAGAACCACCAGTGTTCTCAAACCACTGGGCCATCTCTCCGGTCCCAGCTTTTAATTTTTATATGGGTGATAGGACTCCATTAGCACATTTAATTATGGTGTGATGGGGCTGAAGAGATGGCTCTGGTTAAAAGTGCTGGCAGCTCTTGCAGAAGACTGGTGTTCAGTTCCCAGCACCCACAGCCATCCAAAACTCCAGTTCCAGAGAATCCAGAGTCCTCTTCAGGCCTCCACAAGCATTACATGCATGGGTGCTCTTACATACATACAGGCAAAACACATAAAATAATTATGCTGTGATATGGTGAAGTTTTTGATTCAGGCTCAGCTGTGGAAGATTGGCAGCCTAGAAAGCGGTAGCCAGGCACTGTTGGAGAAATTCTGGTGAGATGAGAGAATGTGCATAAGGTAGGGTGGCAGAAGATGTCCAAGGACCGATGGGAGTGACTTGTAGGAAGAATCAGTGACTTAACAGGATGCAGGGTGTTGAAGAGTAGGGAAGAGCCAAAGATAACTCCTGGGATGGGAGTGTCTTTATTGGGTTCTCCAAGAAGTCTTGAGCAAAGCAGGTTTGCTCAAATTCTCTTTGAATTCAAAAATGTTCCCACCAGACTCTGGGGGGATGGCACTGGAAAAAGCACTTGCCATGCAAGGATAAGGAGCAGAGTTTAGATCCCTAGCACCCGTGTGAAATGCTGGCTGAGTATGGCAGCCGACCTGTGATCACAGTGCCCGGGAGACAGAGACGGGATCCCTGGAGCAAGCTGGCTAGCTAGACAAGCTGAATTGGTGAGCTTTGGGTAGAAGTGAGAAGACCCTGCCTCAGAATGCAGGTGGAGAGGAATTGAGGGAGACACCCAGTATCAACCTCTGGGCACACATGTGCATATGTGCCCGTACCCATGCAAACGTGCATATGCACAGGTGCATACATGGGGAACCTAAAAGGGTTTTCACACCAAACCCTTGAAATACATTGAGGAAAAGCTAAAGGCTGCAATCCTGTGGAGTTCGCCACTTTCAGTTCTTGTCAGGAAGTATTTAAAATGCTGTGGGTTGTTTGGTTTTTTTTTAACATTTTATTTTTTTATTTTTTGTTTTTTTGAAGCAGGGTCTCCCTGTAGCCCCAGCTGTCCTGGAACTCAATATGTAGACCAGGCTGGCCTTGAGCTCACAAAGATCTGCCTGCCTCTGCCTCCCAAGTGCTGGGACTACAGGCGTGCGCCACTACGCCCAGCTTATTTTATTTATTATTTTTATGTGTATGAGTGTATTGCCTGCATGTATGTAAGTGCACCCTTGTCATGCAGTGCCCAGGGAGGTCAGAAGGTGGTGTCAGATTCCCCCAGAACTGGAGTTAAGGATGATTCGAAGCCACCATGTGGGTGCTGGGAATCAAACCCGGGTCCTCTGCAAGAGCAGTCAGTGCTCTTAACCGCCGAGCCATCTCTCCAGCCCCAAAATGCTGTGTTTTTAATGAGTCACAGAGTTGACAGGTTTAAATGGAAAGTAACAAATCTGAGCTCTTTTCCTGTAACTTTATTTTTTATTTAGTTATTTTTAATATTTTATTTTTTTGGTCTTTTTGAGGCAGGGTCTCCCTGTAGCCCCAGCTGTCCTGGTACTCACTATGTAGACCAGGCTGGCCTTGAACTCACAGAGATCTGCCTGCCTCTGCCTCCCAAGTGCTGGGATCAAAGGCATGCACCACCACGCCTGGCTGTTTACTATTTTTATTTTGTGTGTATGCGTGTATTGCCTGCATATAGGTAAGTGCACCCGTGTCATGCAGTGCCCGTGGAGGACAGAAGAGGCTATCGGATCCCCTGGAACTGGAGTTACAGACATTGTTAGCTGCCATGTGGGTGCTGGGATTCAACCCCAGGTCTTCTGCAAGAATAACCAGCGTTCTTAACCGCTGAGCCATCTCTCCAGCCCCTCTTTTCCTATAACTTTAAAAAAAAATTTTGCGTATGAGTGTTTTGCCTGCATATATGTAAGTGCACCTGTGTCATGCAATGCCCTTCAGAGGTTAGAAGAGGGTATCCGATCCCCTGGAACTGGAGTTATGGACAGTTGTTAGCCACCATGTGGGTGCTGGGCACTGAACCCAGGTCCTCTGTAAGAGCAGCCAGTCTCACTGAGCCATCTCTCCAGCCCTTCATATAACTTCTTACAGCAGCAGTGTGAGGTAGGGTGGGACCTCACTGTGTAGTATAGGACAGAGGCGACAGTGTTCAAATCCTGGTGTTTTCCATAATACCTTGTGGTCCTCAGAGCCTAAAGCAAGAAGTGACTCAAGAAGAAGGAATAAGCCAGGCCTTGAGAGAGGAGGCCCAGCGGAGGGAGACAGCGCTGCAGCAGCTGCGTACAGCTGTGAAGGAGGTAATCACTGACCAGGGCGTAGACCTTAGAGCCTCCACAATCCCAATTTCTCATTTACTCACCACATCCTTACCCTGCAGGAGTATAGGAGGAGCCCTACTGTTTGTTTCTTTTTAGCAAAGGAGTTGGTGAGAACATTCAGCATCATTTATGTCAGAGGCCCTAGGCCTGTGAGTAGCCCACAAATAACTATGGACATGTGGGAAGTCGTATTCTCTCTTTCCCCCCCCCCCCCGCCACTGGTTTGTGGTATTAAAGAGGGTAGGGTCAAGAAAAATGAAGGAGCAGGTTCTGGTGGCACACACTCGTAATCCCAGCACTTGGGGGGCTCTGGCAGGAGGAGGTTGAGGCTGAGTTCAAGGTGAGCCTTTTTCACACATCCCTACCCACAGCCCCCAAATGACTGATGATTTGGTGGTCCTCAAATATAATAAACAGAGTTTAAACCTCACCAGGTCACAGTAGGGGCTATAGTTCAGTGGCCAAGTACCTATGAAACACTCTGCCAGAACTAGGATTGTCACATGGCCCAGTGTGGGTGGAGGGCTGGGATTAGAGGTAGAAGAAGGAGTGCATTAAGCTACTGGGAAGAGGGAAGGTAAAACACACAGACCCACATCAATAGCTACTCTGTGTGGTAAATCCTAAGGTGAGAGTCTGAATTGGCAGGATGCCTGCAATTCTAGTTCCCAGGAAGAAGAGGGGTAGGAGGACCATTACAAGTTGAAAGCCAACCTGGTCTACAGAGTTGAGTTCTAAGCCAGCCAGGGCTACAGAGTGAGACGGTCTCAAAAAAAGATGAGGTTGGAGATGTAGCTCTGTTGGTCCAGTGCTTGCCTTATGTGTATAAAACCCTGAGTTTGATCCCTGGCAGTACATAAACTTGGGTAAGTCGTATACATCTGTAATCCCTGTACTTGGGAGGTAGCGATAGGAGGATCAGAAGTTAAAGGTCATCAGCTAAGAAAGATCTTTCAGCTCTGGATCCTCAGGTCTCTGTCTTCTTCAGCCTCACAGTGGCCACTAGCCTGTCATTCTGTCTTCCTTGCCCCCTTCCTGACAGTCTGTGATCAGGCTGGCTGGGGGCCACTTTTGTCAGGGTGGCAGGGAGAGATTGAAACCACTGTCTCCTCAGATTTCACTGTTCACATTAAGCCATCTCTAATAGCCTGGCTAACAGAGTTGGCTGAGGGACTAGTTTCAGATAGAGTTCCTAGGGGGCAGGAGCATCTTCTCTGGTTCCTGGACAGAAACCGGGAGGCTGATGACTCAGAGCATGCTGGGGGATAGTCCCCCGCCCCAGTGCTGGACCCCTAAGGGCCTAGGCCTAACCTACCCACAGAAAGAACTGGCAGAAGTTGGGATAGCTTGTGGGTGGCAGTGGAAAGGGACATTATCTGTGACTCGCTCTCCACTCACATCCACACCCATGCACAGATCCTGTGCCTCTCCTTGGGACTTAATCTTACTTGTCTATTTGCTCAGCTATCAGTGCAAAACCAGGACCTGATTGAGAAGAATCTGACACTGCAGGAACATCTGCGCCAGGCCCAACCAGGGTCCCCATCTTCACCTGATATAGCCCAGCTGGCGTTTGAACTGCACCAGGAGTTGGCCAGTTGCCTTCAAGATCTGCAGGCTGTCTGCAGCATCGTGACCCAGAGGGCCCAGGGCCACGACCCCAATCTCTCCCTGCTGCTAGGCATTCACTGTGAGTCATCAAGCCAATCTAAAATCTGTGAGAAAGGGGCTGTCTTCTCTTACCCCATCCAGCTTTGCTATCCTTACAGTAATTGTGAAATCAGGTGCATAGGCCTGGTCACTGCCGCCTGGGAGTTGACAGTGTTCATTAAGTGTTTCACAAACAGGCCTCCTTAGAGGATAATGAAGAAAGCAGGCCTTAGGCAACAAAATTATCAACCCACTATCCCCAGCTGCTTCTTTAAAATTATGCCCTACTGGTGTGGTGTTGCCTTTAATCCCAGCACTTGGGAGGCAGAGGCAGGTAGATCTCTGTGAGTTCGAGGCCAGCCTGTGCTACATAGCAAGTTCCAGGCTAGCTGGGGCTACAGGGAGACCCTTTCCCAAAAAAACCAAAAAAAAAAAAAAAAAGCTGTGCCCACGATCGTGAGCCTAAAGAACTACTGGCCCCTTCCGTGTGAAGTTTCTCCCAGCTGATTTGCTAACACTCTTCAATGTTCTCCTCAGCCACACAGCACCCAGGGACTCCGCTAGATTTGCAGAAGCCAGATGTGATGAGGAGAAAACTGGAAGAAGTTCAACAGTTGCGTCATGACATTGAGGACTTAAGGACCAGCCTGTCAGACAGATATGCCCAGGACATGGGAGACAACTGTGCTACACAGTGAGGAATGCCAGAGAGAACCTAAGCTGCTGGGAGCCTAGCCAGAACCTTCCTGCCCTGACAATTCTGCTGCTGCACCCAGAGGGGAGGAATTGGGGAACGCCTGCATCTGTGGCCAGGGCTTGTTGTGCGAAGTCTGCCTGCTTTGCTGCACACTGGCTTTGCCTTATTGGGTTGTGTTTTTCCTGTTATCTCAATTCACTCTAAAAGGGTGAGTTACTAATTAACCTTTTTTCAGATTTTTAACTGATAAGGTCCTCAGAAATTGTTCCCAGCTAACTGACATCAAAGGCAAACAGGCTGCATAGCTCCCCTCTCCATCTTCAGAATGGATCCACATTCATTCCTCCTCCATATTTTGATCCACCTGGTGCTCAGAAGAGGGGCTTGGAAAGGCTGAGTAGGAGTAGCAGTCACCTTTTAAGAAGTCTCAGCCCCAGTAGATCAGCCTTCCTGGGAACTGAGCTGGGCTTCCTGGATTTTCTCAGGTTCCAGCCAGCTGCTGCTTCCTCAGAGCTGTTTTCACAGAAGCCTCAGGGTCATCTCATTAGCAAAATTCTCACTAGGAATCAGGGTTTAGGGGTTACCGAGTGCTCCTTAATCTGCCTGTTGTGCCATCTTTTACCAGAGACTTCTTAGCTGCCCTGTGTCCCTAGACCCCAGGCATGTGATCAGCATGGTCTCTTTTGTTCTCAGGCCTTCCAGGTAGCCAGTTTTGGGGGCCTGAGTGCAGACTCCTTTGTGGTGCTGGGTTTGGGCAGAAGTTTCTCCCAGAAAACCACAGAGCAACTATGAAACTGCTCCCCTTCTCCAGGGCTGGGACCTGTGGCTCGCCCTCTGGTTTTTGCCTCTCTTGTTGGGTTTGGGAAGCTTTTCTTTTCCTGCTCTGGACTCCTTGTGAGTTCAGAGTATCTAGTATGGGTCAGTTCTAAGGTAAAGTGTTCAGTGTTTCCTCCGGTCCCATGTATTTTTCTGGGGCCTTTGGATTCTGCTTTCTGGTTTTTCTTGCTTCCTGGTTTGGGGAGCATCTCACAGTTGTTAGTATCTGGTTCTTGGGCCAGCCTTAGGTCTCCTAGTTCTGGAGCCAGGCCAGCAGAGGGGTAGGGGTGTGTGTGTGTGTCTGTCTGTCTGTCTGTCTGTCTGGAGCCAGGCCAGCAGAGGGGTAGGGGTAGGGGTGTGTGTGTGTGTGTGTGTGTGTGTGTGTCCAGCAGAGGGGTAGGGGTGGGTGTGTGTCTGTAGAGCAAAGCAGTTGATGGCTGCAGAGGCAGCCATAACCAGACTTGCTAAGCTCTGGGCTGCTAGAAGGATCTTGGACCTCACTCCAGGGCCTGTGTAGACCTTCTTGAAAGTGTTTTCACGGGTTTATGTTTTATTTATGGAGTGACTTAGCCCTTCCCTTCAGAGCAGCCTCACCCACCTGGCCACCCTTGGCCTCTGGGCTCCTGCCTCCTAAAGACAGAGCTGTCTGGTTGGTCCCCACCCTATATGGGAGCCCAGCCATTATGCTCACGGGTATTTTTTCTTCATAACGTTTATAAGCAGTTATTTATATAAATCTTTGTTATGTCAATTGGTTTGTATTGCCTATTTTGATTATAGAATAAAATATTTAATAGATGCTTCTGTTTTCTCTTAGCCTTCCATCATTCCCTGCCCACACTTCACTCTGGCTTGTTGGAGCCAGGCAGCCACAAGGAGTGGCAGGTCCAGTTTTGTGTCCATCTTCATGTCTCCCTGTAGTCCCAGCTGGCCTGGAACTCTGTAGACCAGGCTGGCCTTGAACTCAGAGCGATCTGCCTGCCTCTGTCTCCCAAGTGCTGGGACTAAAGGCGTGTACCACCACGCCTGACTGGTGTCCATATCTCTGACCACTTCTGCTTCATTGTCTGTCTGTGGGGACAAGTATGATTGCTGCCCACACTACTTTCTGTTGGCCAAAAACTGCCCTGAGTCATAGAGCAAGTTGTCACTGGAAAGTTTCAGCAGACATCCCAAAGAGGAAGTTGTCAGCCTCTGGGTTTCAGTGGCAAAATTCTGAGGAAGTGGCTTCCCCAGAGCCTGGCAGTTTGCCTCAGAGTGCTAGATTGGCTTCCTGGGCCATTACCTAGCTAGCCCTGCCCTAGGGTGACTCTTGAGGCCGATTATTAACAGCTTTCTCCAAGATTGGAATAAGCTAGGTTGGACCACTCTGCACTGTCTCAACAGCTGAATTCTTGATAATAGTCACTCATAGTTTTGGGGTGCCATTTACAACGTAGAGGAGGAGTTGAGCTAGGGCCACCCTAAAACTAGCTCTGGATCTCTTGACAAGGGCCAGTATGAGCCAGGCTGGGCCGTCCTGGCACTAGCTTCGCCTCCACCCTGGAGAGCAGGAGAGCAGTCGGGCAGCCTTCCTTACCTTGCTCTCCATCTGGCTCCTGAAGGGTGTGGCCCCAGCCTACAGCCACCACCCTTTCTTGCCTGAGCCTGTTAGAAGACGAGAGGCGCTTTAGGGAAAAGTGTCTTGGCTGCCCCCTCCCCCGCTTTGGAAGCTGCGCGGCCTTCCCAGCCCTAGGTTAGCTTCACTGTCAGGGGCCTCCTGGAGCCCTCCGCGGCTCTGGGCCGGCAGTTTCGATGCACTTACTGGGTAAATGAGAGGCTTTACGCGAACCTTCCTGCCATCTGTCCTCCCGGCCGCACCCCCTGAGCCCTACATCATCGGAAAGGGCTAGGGGTAGCCTAGCAGCCTCCTTAGACGGTCCTGCGGCTCCAGGCCACCCCGCCGGGAAGGGATGGGGGGGCCTCCAGCGCAGGGCGGGGTCGTGCAGGCCCCGCCTTACCCGCTTGCGCAGCCCATTGGTCGGGAGGGCAGTGACTCGCGGGCGGAGCAGGAAGGAAACCGCTCCCGAGCGGCGGCCGCGTCGTCCCGGCCGTGCATCTGCCGCTCCCACCGCCCTCGGTTGGTCTGCACGTCCCCTACCTGCAGCATGAGTGGCCTGCGCGTCTACAGCACGTCGGTCACCGGCTCTCGCGAAGTAAGTGTGCGCCGGGGCCGGCACCCGGGCAGAGTGGGGCCGGCTCCCTGGGCTCCCACCCGCGCCGGGACCCGCCCCCGCGATGGAGGCAGCGAGGTGCGGGGCACGGCCTCCGGGTCCGGGCCAGGGGCGCAGCCCAACCTGAGTCCCGTCCCCCGCCCCCCCTCACCCCGCCAGATATCCTCGGTCCTCGGCATTCCCAGCATAAGATGCCCACACCCATCCCCCATCATGGGGACGTCCATTCCCGCACCCCCGACTTCCATCACCCCCTCGTCCTCTCCACTATGTGCGTTGGAGTGTAGTTCTTCAGCGAGGCCTGCCCCTGGCTGAGCCCCCAGCTTCCCTGTCCTGCCCTGAACTTCAGCGCCTTCTCTTTCTGACCCCTACTCGTGTAGGTGGTCCTGCTCCCTCCTTGGACCCTTCCCAAACCTGAGGCCATAATCTTCCCCTAGAGTAGGTATGGGGACAAAAGCTCCTACTAACTAACATGTGCTGAGTCTCCCCATAAATCCTCCAGACCTGCCTACCAACCCTGTCCATCCTCTGCCCTTAGATCAAGTCCCAGCAGAATGAGGTGACCCGCATCTTGGACGGGAAGCGAATCCAATACGAGCTAGTGGACATCTCCCAGGACAACGCCCTGCGAGATGAGATGCGAGCCTTGGCAGGCAATCCCAAAGCCACCCCACCCCAGATTGTCAACGGGGACCAGTACTGTGGGGTATGGGCCCTGGGACTGGGGGTGAGGGGGAGTGGTGGTGGAGGACTGCAGCCAGGTTCAGACCCGGACAAAACACTGGGGCCTCCTGCACCTGCACTCAGGTGATCACCCCCTCCCTCAGGACTATGAACTCTTCGTGGAGGCTGTGGAACAGAACACGCTGCAGGAGTTCCTGAAGCTGGCCTGAGTCAAGCTGGGCGGTCCCCACCCAACTCTACAGCAGGCCCAGAAAGACCTTGTGACCAACTCCCCATCATTCCCAATCTTAGAGTCCCTCTCTAAAACCCCAGGCCCTTTCTGTGATCTCCCCCTCTTCCCTTTTCAAAGGCAACATTCCTTACTCACTGATACTAGAAATTGTCTTAAGCAAAGTCCCAATCCTGGCTGTCCCCAGCCAGGCCTTGGGGCTACCTCCCTGCCTAGCACTGATTGATAGGCATTTCTCTTGGTACCATCAGCCAGAGCTCTGCCAAAGGCCCCGCAGTCCCCCTCCTGGGAGCATCTTAGAGACAATTAAAGGCCCATTCCACTGGCACTGTCTGGTAGTGGTGTCCTGGGTCCCTGCTGGGGAAGGCTTGTGGCTGTGATTGTGGGGAAACTGTGTTCATCACTTCTGCCTGCCTGTGAATGTCTGACTGTCTCACCACATGGCCACGGTAGACATGCAGTTTCTGGACATGGTGGCTGAACCACCCTATCCCATGCACCTTCTGGCACCCATCCATTTGCCTGCCTGGAGTGGGGGCTGCCTCCTGTGTTGAAGCAGGCTGGCTGTGTGGGTGTGTCACAGGGGTGGGTGCACAGCTGCGGATTGAGGGGTGTGGGGGTAGCTGTGCAGTGGCTTTGTATAGTATAGAAGCCGTGTTCCCTTGAGCTTGTGTGGAGCTCTGACTGTCCTCAGTGGTCTCAGCCTCAGCTGAGGCAGGGAATGTATACCCAGCTGGGGCTGGCTACTCCCTCCTCGGAATCCCTCCTCCAAGGGATCCACTTAACACAACTTGGGAGAAAAAGGAACTGAGAGGACAAAGACCCAGCAGCTAAGCTGGGGCTCCAGTTACTAAGGGGCGTGTCAGTACCGCCCCCTCCCTGGCCCAGCTGGGCCTCAGCCTTCCCCTCAATACCGCCCTGCCTAGAGAGCTCATGTTATCAGGGACAGCACTTTATTCAGGGCCATCAACCCAGGCCTGGGCCAGGGTGCGGGCCAGAGCCAGTACCAAAGCTGGGGTTGGACAGCAGAGCCCGTCGAGACCGCAACAACAGTGTTGCATTGGGCACCAGGCCTGCAGCCTGCAGTGTGAGCGCATCATCCTGGTAGACCATGGGTGGGAAGGTGCTGCAGATCTCAAAGGTGGCCGAGTCCATGTTCCTGGGTGTCCAGCAGAGTACATCAGGCCAGGCCATAGGTCCCGAGGCTCCCAGTGGCCCCAGCCCTGCCCTGTGCCCACCTGGCCTGTGCTAAGAGGATGCGCACATCGCCCACAGTGTCCTCCGGCCGCATCATCAGTTGGAAGGCCTGCTCCCCATTCTCAGATTTGATACGCAGCATGGAGAGCCAAGGCACTGGTGTGCTGGGTGACTCCTGGCTCCTGCAGGCCAGAGGCCCTCAGTGCTCCCCAGGCCCTTTCCTCTCTTCCCTGCTCTCCCCTCTGATCAGCCCTCACCTCTGCCGCTCAGAAGCCAAGGCAGGTGTCTCCACTACGATCTCCTGGATCCGGGCAGGCATTGGGCAGCAGCAGTTCTGGAAGGCGGTCATGGAGTAGATGGAGCCCTGGGCCCCACCTAGGTCATTTCCCCACCCTTGGAGGGGACTGGCTTATCCTTGAGCAGGGATGGATGAGACCAGTGAGCCAAAGGGCTGGAGTGTTCTGTGTAAACCAAGGCCCAAGGAGAGATGGAAGGGAAAGGAAGTTCTAGAAGGCAATATCATCATCCCCCAGTCCAGTGGGAAACACAGACCCACCCAGATGACAGCTAGGCTTGAATGCCCGACCCAGCCTGGGGTTGGGGAAGACCTCGCCAGGGGAAAACCACCTGAGCTGGGGCTGAAGGATGAGGAGTGGTCCTTCAAAATGGAATGGGGGGGCAGGGCGGACAAGAAGGACCTTGGAAAGGAGGTGATATATTTAGGAAATGCCGGCAAGTCATAGCCAAAGCTGGGAACCAAGGTGGACTGGAAGGAAGGAAAGGTTAGAGGTGAGGAGGGCAGTGATGCTAAATGGGCTTTCTCCCTGGATGACTTCAACAGAGAAGGCTAGCAGCAAAGTGAAGGGGGAGGCCTGCACAAGGAGGTTGTCTTCAAGACACACTGGAGCCCAGACTAGGGTCGTAGGAGGCAGGGATGGAGAGAAAGGAACGAGGGCTTAGGAGGACTTCATGGAGTGGCCAGTGAGGTGAAGGAGGCACAGGAGTCCTGAGAAGAGGCGCCTTCCTGGGGGAACTTGGGAAGGGCAGTACAGGAGCGAAGAGAAGCTCTGTGAGGCCAGGGAGTGCTGTACCGGCCTACAGAACTAGAAGCAACGCCACTGCTGAGGCCTGCTCCTCAAGGGCAGGGCCTGGGCCTTGGGTTCACCTCCCAGATGCAGCCAACCCAGGTGGCAGAGTCCTCACCAGCTCCGAGGAGACATGGTAGTCTGAGGATCTCCTTGCCATCCTGGCCTTCTGGGTCCCATAGGCCAGCAAGATGCTGTAGGCTGTCAGAGTTGGTAATAAAGTCTCCCAAATAAGGCTGGGGAATTAGGGCTGGCCTCACCTGCAAGGTGTCCCTAATGGGACCCCGGATGTCAATCACCTCGCCTTGTCGGATTATACACTTGGGAAGCTTGTTCAGAAATTTCTCAGCAGTCATCCTGGAGCCTGCAGGGAGGGTATTGGGGACCTTGGCCCAGGGAGGAACTGAACACTGTAGAGGCCACCCGGAGCTGGTTCTGCACAGCCCCCCAGCCAGCCCTGGGGCCCCAGCTTACCTGAAGGGTCCTCCACCCTGTCTGAGACCTCGCGAATTTTCTGCCAGCCCACCACACGACCCTCACCTGGGAATGGGCCCAGCTCATCCTCCGGGTAGACCCGATTTCGCAGGTCGCTTACCTGGCAGGAAGGAAGGACCACAGCATCGGGGAGCCCAACTCCTCAGCCCTGGGCCCCACCCTCCACCCTTGCTTGCCCAGAGGCCCCAAGAACAGGCCCAAGGAATAATCTAATACAATCCCCGTTTTACAGACAGGGAAACAGGCCCTGAGAGAAGAGGGCCACAGTTAATGCTGCTGTCACCCCGGCCCCATTCCTGCAGGTATCCCTCATTCGTGCCAGCTTGAAGCCTCAGTACCACCCCTCCCACACCCCCATCTGGTCACGTCTGCAGAGGGCAAAGCCCCTGCTCTTGCCCAGTCTGCAGTCAGACCATCAGTGCTCACGTTACCGCACAGGCACTGCCAACATGACTCAATCTCTCCTCACTTGCACATGTCTTACACACACCCTCGCTGTGGAGACAACCTGCCTCTGGAGCCCAGCCCTGACCACAGATAGGCTCATCGGTCCCTGCAGTCCATCCAGCATTTGCCTCTCTTTTCAGTGTTTGTGGCTCCTGGCCACCCCAACCACATGACTTCAGAAGCCTCTGGGGCAGATGGGAGGTTCCTATGTGTAACAGATGCCTCGGGTGCCCCAGCTGTCAAGTCCTAAGAGCTGGGGAGGGCAGGCAGAACAGTGGACCCACAGCCAATGCTGTACCTTCAGCTTGCCAGCAGAGGGCACTGTCTACTACGCAGCCTAGGGCCCTCATAGCCAGCCTCTGGCTCACCCTCCTCTTGGAGGGCCTCTGATGATCTGAGTGGATGGCTCCCCATTCAAGATGGCTAATTCTCTGAGGAAGCTGTCTACCCATACTTTCCAAAGCCACACAAGGAAAGGATGAGTTGAGGAGCAGCTGGTTACCTTAAAGGGGACTCCATCAGGGTATAATCGCTGGAGCTCTGTGGGGAAGAAGCCATCTAGTATGTCCCGGAGGCAGCGCTGCAGGGGGAGAGGACAGGTGAGGCCCCTGGAGCCATGCTCTGCCCTGCAATGCTGAGCCTGCTACCTGTTTGGATGTCAGGCCCTGGGCATCACACTCTGGAAATACTGGGAGCCCCAAGACTTGAGAGGTGGGGGGCTGTGTGCCCTATGGATGACAAACTAGGCCTGGAATGAGCTCTGGTATCTCCAAGCCAATGGGGCAGGCAAAGGCCCCCGAGCCACCACCCACAGCTCCTACCTGTGTGGAGGGGTCATAGAAAGGCCGGAAGGGCCCATCGAACATCATGATGCCATTCCTGTAGAGCTTCAGTGGGATGGGCTCCAGGGTACGGAGCTGCGCCCCACCGGGCATTGGTGTCACTTGGGCCTCACCCTCTACCACCAGCTCACTGAGATCCTGCAGGCTGGCCAGCAGCCTGTCAAAGTCCACCTCAGGAGGCACGACTGAATCCCCTAGCAAGAAGGATAGACACCCATGAGCTTTTTGACTTTTTCGTGCCGTAGCAGCCCTGGCTGGTGGGCCGCTCCCAAGCAGCAGTGGCCTCCATCTCCTTAAGGGGTCACCTGAGGAAAAGGTAAGGCTGTACTAGGTAACAGTAGCTGCTGTCTTTTATTGGGTTCTCACTCCGACCTTTTTATTTGTTTGAGCTGGGGTCTCTTGTTACTCAAGTTGGCTTCGAACTCCCTGTGTAGTCGAGGAAGACCTCGGAATCCTGATCCTGTTACTGTGCTTCCCCAAGTGCTGGGATTACGGACATGCCACACCTAGCTGGGCACTTACTTTGGGCCAAGGGTTTAATAGCCATCTTCACATTCCCTCTTCTTACAGACCCTACACTGTAATGGTTATATACCCATTCCATTTTCCAGATGTGGAAACTGAGGCTGGAGAAAGTTCAGTAGCTTACTTAGCAATGCTCAGAAGTAGGAGCAAGAACAGAGTTTGATGCAAAACCTATGTCCAGTACTGGGTTGGCAGAGCTCCTAGATCTGGATCAAAGCTTTCAGGGTTCAAATCCCATCCCCTGTATGTCCAGTACTGGGTTGGCAGAGCTCCTAGATCTGGATCAAAGCTTTCAGGGTTCAAATCCCATCCCCTGCACTTCTACCAAATCATTAGCCCTACCAAGTCATTTAATGATCTGGGCTAGAATGGAATGCCAATAGTGTTGGCCTCCAAGGGTGTTTATAAAGGCACCAAAGAAATGACCGTGAACGGGCCATCTTGGAACAACCTGAACTGACCACATTAGATTACGAGCTCTACCTTGCACAAATGGTCTGCAGGCTAGCCCTGAGGCTACGAGGCAGGGCCTGTTTAATCCCCGCTTAAAAGCATGAGGAAACAGGTCCAGAAGGAGGCAAAATGACACATCCCAGGCCCCCTGGCAAGTTAGAGGAGGAGTTGGGACTGTGCTGTGCTAACTAGTGTCTGTTGTCCCCACCCAGCTGTATCATCAAGAGAGGGAGGGCAGGAGCAGGGACAGATGGCTGTTAGGGAGGACGTTGGGACAGCTGCTTGGACAGATGTGGAGCAACTATTTCTCGGTCACAGATCCTTTTGAGCAGCTGCCAAAGCTCTGGACGCCTTTGAAAACTGTTGCACACACAGCTGTGCATGGGTTCCAGACAGAGTGAAGGAAACAGCCACAAAAGTGCCAGAGAAGAAGGGTAGAGGGCAGGAGGGATACTGACTAGAGATGGTCTTGGTCTGCAGTCTTTGAAGGGCCCCAGCCCCCAGCTAAGTGGCCCAATAGGATACAAGCCTCCAGAACACGACTGATTTCGGGTCTTCTTAAAAACTGTTTTCACCAGGACTGTCAGGCTGTGGCAGGATGTGGGTCAGGGCCCTGGGGATCCAGCTCCTCTCCCCACAGTGGAAGGACAGGTGCAGGGGGCTATGTTTCCTGTTGCCTTTGCAGCTACTGAAACAGTAGGCCCCAGCCAGCCTTCCTTTCTCCCCAGCATTGGCTACTGAAGGGCTATGCCTGCACTCCAACCCCCAGGTTTCCCCAGTTTCTTCCATTCCAGAAAAAACAAGCTGGGTTCCTGTGCACCACCACCACCAGTTTATGTGGTACTGGGGATCTTACCCCAGTGAATGCTAGGCAAGCACACTACCAAATGAGCTACAACCCCAGGTCTAGAAAGCTCTGATAGCAGCCTTGGCCCAGGCAGACCACAGTGCTCCTGGGGCTTCAGGGAGCTGATAGATAAGAGTGGGCAGTGGGGGAAGGAGACAGGCAGGAGCCCAGGGAAGGGTGCCAAGAAATAGTGGTGGTGACAGTTTGCTTCAATCTGGGCATGGTGGTGCATGTCTTAATCCCAGCACTGGGGAGACACAGGCAAGCAGACCTAGTTTACACAGTGAGTTCCAGGACAGCCTGGACTACACAATGAGACCCTGTCTCAGAAAAACAAAAACAACACCAAGCTTGCTTCAGAAGATGAGTGGATGGGCATTTGCACAGAAAAGAAAAAATAGTGGGTAGGATAGAGGGAGGACTTGGGGCGGGTGGGGGGTCACCTGTCTGTTTTCTGCCTAGAAAAAGAAAAGAAACCTAGCTAGCCCAGGCCAGGAAAAGGGCAAGGTAAGTAGGGTGGCCTGGGCTGCCATTAGGTGCATAGACAGGAGACGGGGACAGGGGACCCAAGAAGAAGGAATCACAGCTCCAGGGAAACCTGGGCTAAGAAAGTAGACAGGAAGGATGGTGAGGCCATCACAGCAGCATTGTAAAGCCAGTGACGACAGAGGCCCGAAGTGTGGTGGGGGTAGGGGCCTCCATGGGTGACAAAGGCCAAAGGACAGGTCTCAGCTCTGGCTCTGGCTAGTGGCAGGACCAGGGTAAGGGCATTTCCTTTGAGCTGCAACTCTCTTTTCTGTAGGCTGAACAGGCAAGTACCCTGACCTGGCCACAAAGCAGGCCAATGGGCCTGTCTGTAAATGATGCTCAAAGGCAAGTCTTATGGTTTCCAGGGACAGATGAGGTAATTAGACTTGGCGGTGTCATGCCCCTGGCCACATAAACCTTGCAGAATCTGGGTGAAAGCTTCAACTCTGTGACCATGCTGGTTGCTGCTGTGATGGCTCTTGGGATGCAGGTCCCTAGTATCCCTTTCAGAGAGGGACCCAATGCTGCGGATCACCTCTGAGGTCTCATGCAATTTTTGTGGTCGCTTTTTGGGGGGGTAGCTGTTTTTGAGATTAAGTCTCCTGTAGCCCAGGTTGGCCTTGACTGTCTCAGAAGCTGTGGATGACCTTGAACTCCTGACCCTCCTACCTTTACCTCCCAAAGTCTAGGACTATAGGCTTGCAAGCCTGATCATCTGACTTTTGTGAGCTGGTGTCTGGGAGCAGGAGGCTTGCTGCACCCCTGGGTCCTTGGCCAGGCCTCTCCCCTCAGCACGTCTGACATTCCGGGACCACACTGGCAGGGCTGCTGCTTCTGCGCTCTACGATGGCCTTGGGCAAGGAGTATCTCTAAGCCTCAGCTTCCTCTTGTATAAAATGAGGGCAGTGACAGTGCTGGCAGGGCTGAGGGGGACTCGGAGGAAGTACCTGGCAGAGTGTGGGTGCAGTTGTCAACTACCAACCCCTGCTCCACCTCAGGCTGCCCTGCCGCCACACACGTTCTGAGAACCTGCTAAAAGCCCCTCCCACTTCTGCCTTGGTTCCTGCAGCCCCCGAGCCTACTTCCTGGGCCCTTGTCACACAATCTTGTCATGTTGTGTTTATTTGCCATTCAACCACTCTGGGTATTCCTTAAACATAGCTGACTTGCTGAGCCCTAGTCTAGCGCAGGTGGACTCTCAAAGCACTTGCTGAGGTTGGGCATGATGATATGCACCTTCAATCCCAGCACTCAGGAGGCAGAGGCAGGTGGCTTTCTATGAGTTCGAGGCCAGCCTAGTCAACATAGTGAGTTTTAGGCCAGCCAGGGCTACATATAATGAGACCCTGTCTCAAAAAAAAGTAGAAGCACAGCTGAGCCATCTGCCCACCCCGTCTGGAGCTCTGAGAGGCTCTGAGAATCATGAGAACCATGTCAACACCCTGGTCAGAGTCCTGCCCTCTTCAGGCTCATACTCAATCGAAGGAGACAGGGTACCAAACAATGACAATGACATACGCTAAGTGTCCCCATGAGTGCGGCATAGCCCACAGCAGGCCCAGACCCTGACACTCACTGGTAGAGTGAGAGGTGGCCCCTCCAGTTTCTGCCTTGATGCTGAGATGCCCCACCTCTCAGGGTGCTGCCCCTGTTCCTGTCCAGCCTCATGGCCCCTTACAGCAGGAAACAGCCACTGTTACCACACCTCTGCAGGCCAGGCCCTCTCTAGATACATCAACTGCATGTTCTCTGCTCTCCAGGAGCCTGGACAGAGAGTAGAGGCTCTGAGAGTCTGGTTGGTGCCAGAGAAGATCTGCACAAGGGAAGCTTTGCCTTGAAACCTGCACATGAACCCCAACTCTCACTCTGGCCCCTGCCACCTGGCTTGGTGTTGCCCTGTCCCAACCTCATCATGTAAACTGTCCCAACACACTGACAGTCCAGGCCTGAATACACCAGGTACCACAGCCCATCTTGTGCTGGCACATATACTCTGGCCTATATGCTAAATACTGTGCTGGGTGCTCTGGGTAATGACAGCTAAGGATCCAGGCTCATTATAGCATCACCTGTGGAGGAAGGAATGGGTTCAGGTTTTTCTGTCTGCCCATCCAAAATACCCAGCCTGGCCTTTAACCCTTTCACTCTAGCAGGGCTCTTCCCATGAGATGCTGGCACAGCCACGGTGGCAGCCCAGGTATACCTGTGGGGATTCAATGGAAAAGCTAAAAGATGGGAGAAAAGGAAAAAGGGCTTGAGGTGGGAGTGAGGGTGGGGAAGGAGGCCTACCCAGACCTCAGTCAGGAACAAGTCAAGCAGGCCTACCTATGGGGCCAGTATGGCCTCCTCGCTTAGAAATGACCTAGCATAAAGCCAGGTGAGGTGGCACAAACCTTTAATCCCAGCACCTGGGAGGCAGAGGCAGGTGGATCTCTGTGAGTTCGAGGCGAGCCTAGTCTACATAGGGAGTGCCAGGCCAGCTGGGGCTGCAGGGAGACCCTGCTTCAAAAAGACAAAAAAAGAAAAGACAGGAAATGACCTAGCTTTAACCAGACTTAGGGATTTGGGACTTGGAAGGAAGGTTAGGGGTGGAAGTGGGGCCTAGAAGGAAGAGCTGGGACACCTGGAAGAAAGACAGGAGAACGAGGAGGGACAGGAGAATGCAGAACTCCAAGCCCACTGATGCGCTCAGCCCCGAGGCCCAGCTGCCCATGTGTTGTAACCAGACGACTGTCCCTTTCATGTCTCCACATACCCTGAAGGACTTGGCACAGCATTCTATGTGATGTTTGATGTCCTGCTGAGCCTGGGGCCATGCCCTTTCAAAGGCTTCCCCTCTGTTGGGGTCCTTCAAGGAAGAAACCAGCACTCATGCCTAAGGCAAAAGTCCCTGGCTCCAACTGGTGGCACATGCCTTTAATCCCAGCACTACTCAGGAGGCAGAGGAAGGCAGATCTCTGTGAGTTCAAGGCCAGCTTGGTCTACATAGGTAGTTCCAGGACAGCTGGGGCTACAGGGAGACCCTGTCTCAAAAAGACCAAGAAAAAAAAAAACAATTTAAATCCTCATCTCCAGAGCATCTGGCTGCCCTTTGGCCCAATACTGATATTCTGGCTCACCTGCCCATTGGCCTGTGCTCCAGAGCCTGTGGGAAATAGCATCCAGCAAGAGGGAACCCAGGAAATGAGCCAGAGAGAAGGCAGGACTGGGAACCAAGAGGCAGGGCCAGCCCCTGAGAAAAGAGGGAGTTCCCAGGAGGAAAAGCTGCTTGGAATGGAAAACATGCCCTCATGTCTCATCTGGCCAGAGGAAGAAAATCAAGGCCCCTCCCACACTGAAAAGCAAAAGCAAAAGGTGTAGAGGGCTCCGTAGCCCAGGAGCTCCAGAACAGAGGGAGATAGTGTTTCCATGGGTTGCTTTAGCTGGGGAGCCAGCCGTGGAGCCACACCAACTAAGCAGAATGTGGTACATGCTGTTCTTTTGGGGGATGGGGTGGGTACCCAGGAAGAGCAGAAAACCAGTGGGTGGGTCCAGGGCCCAGCCATCTGGTCTGACCCCTCTGAAAACTAGAACTCCAGCAGGAGACACCTCCAGGTCATGAGGAAGGCTGGGTGCCAGGTGTAACACAGGTGAACCTCTGGGCCTTGAGCCTTCTCACAGGTCTCACAGCCACCTTTTAGGGCCTACCTCTTAACCAGAGACCCTAGAGAACAGTGGCAAGGATACCACACCCTGGGTTCAGATTTCTAGTTGCTGCATGCAAGCCCACAATGTCTGCACGGCAGGGCCTCACTCTGCCCTCTCCTCCTCACCCTGCCCCTCACACAGTTCCCCAGCCTCTTTTCACTGCTATTCCCAGAGACATCTCTGACTCCTCCCCTCCATTTCCTCAGTCAACATGGCCATGGGCTCCACCTCCCAAATCTCTCTGCTCTGCCTCCTCTAGCCCTCTGCACCAGTACCACTTATTCTGGCCTTCACCTCATCTGTCAAATGACAGGGGCCACCTCCTGATAGGTTCTCAGCCACCCCCATTAACCAGTCTTCAGACTCTGTGCCCCAGTTTGCCCATCTATAAAACAGAACATCCTTTGTCCCATGCCAAGGAATGTAGTAGGGTTTGTTTTGTTTTGTTTTGGTTTGGTTTGGTTTGGTTTTGAGGCAGGGTCTCCCTGTAACTCCTGCTGGCCGCAAACTCACTATGGAGACCTGGCTGACCTCAATCTCATTGAAACCATCTGCTTCTGCCTCCCCAGTTCTCTACACCCAGTAAAAAGGTAGTATATTTAGAACAAGGACGGGGTTGTGTACTGAGACTAAGGGAGATCTGCATGAAGTCCAGGCCCAAACAGAGAGTAGGATCCACGTTTGGATTGGAACCTGGCTTTGTTTTTTGCTGTTGTTTGGTTCCCCCCCCCCCTCTTTTTTTTTTTTTTTTTTTTTTTCCGGTCAGGCAACTTCCAATCAGGGTTTCCTTTTTTTTTTTTGACAGGGTCTCCTTGTAGCCCCAGATATCCTGAAACTCACTATGTAGACCAAGCTGGCCTCAAACTCACAAAGATCCACCTGCCTCTGCCTCCCAAGTGCTGGGATTAAAGTGGGATTAAAGGCATGCGCCACCATGCTGGGCTTCATTCACTCTTTGTAACCCCAAGGGCAAGAGCATGCCCCCATTTTGTCGAAGAACCTGAGGCTTGGGGAAGGGAAGTGGCTTGCTAAGCCACAGCCAGCCCTGAACAGGTGGTGTTTGACTCTAGAGCTAGAGATACATCTGCTTGACACTGATGAGAATGGACCCAGTTTCAGAAACAGTCAGTTCTATGGACCCACATCTAGGGAAAGAAGAGACCGGGGACCTTACTAGATATTAGTGGTTAAAATGAAAAACGGTGAGGGGCATGGTGGCACACGCCTGTAGTCCCAGAACTAGGGAGGCAGAAGCAGGTGGATTTCTGTGAGATCATCAAGGCCAACCTGGTCTGCATATCTAGTTTCAGGGCATATCTAGTTTCAGGCCATAAAGAGAGACCCTGTCTCAATTTTTAAAAAAAGGAGGAGGAGGAAGAAGAGGAAGAGGAGGGAGAGGAAGAGAAAGAAGAGGAGGAAGGAATAAGAGGAGGAAGAGGAGGAGGAAAAAGGAAACAAGAGAGAGAGAGAGTGTGAGAGAGAGAGAGAGAGAGAGAGAGCATCCCATGGCGTGGCTAACACATGAAACTGCAAAGGGATCTGAGGAGGGGGCTGAGCCCTGGGAGCCAGACAGGGGCTTGCAGACAAAGGGACTGCTTTTGCATTTTCCCCTGAAACATGATCTCTTTATTTAGCCCAGGCTGGCCCTGAACTCTCAGTCCTCCTGACTCAGCCTCCCAAGTGCTGGATTCCAGGTATGTGCCACCATGCCAGGTGAGGGGTTGCTTTTTTAAGACAGCAGCCTTTGGCAGTGGACTTTCTGTGACCTTTGGAGCCTGAGGCAAAAAGAGCAAACACCTGATAACTCTGGGTCTCTCCACGGGCAGATGAGCAAGGACAGACTGAAGCAAGACCAGAGAGGACACCAGCTGGCAGGTTGGGTAATCATTGATAGAGGCCTGGGCTTTTCCTTCCCTGAGTCAAGGATAAGATGTGGGCTACCTGTGGAGCCCTTCATGCTAGGAGGCCAGGGTTTGAAACCAGGGGCCTCTGGAGAGTGGCAGCCTGGCAGGAAGTTGCTCGAAGGGGACCAGGACAGACCCTCTATTCTACCTGACTTCCAGAACTTCTTGGCCTTCATCCAGTTCCGATCATCATCCTCTGAGACTGTCTTTTCCTCCGAGTCCTCCTGGTCCATGGGCTCACCCACCCACTGCAGTCCATAATCACTAAGGAACCTCTGTGAGGCAGAAGGAAGCAATGAGGTGCAGTGCTATCTGCTCAGCTTCTCTCCAGGGAGAACATCACCAGCCCAACCCCCAACCTCAGTGCTCAACCCAGAGTCGCCTGGACAAAGGATGTGCTGGGGACCCTGGTCACTTCCTGTCTGTGACCCTTTGGCCTCCTGAAGCCTCAGGCCCCTTCTCTGGAGGATGGAGATGACAGCGCCTGTCTCATAAGCTTGTAGGATAGAACCAGCAGGACCCCTCATGTCAAGTACTGAACACAGTGCATGGTTCGTGTAAGAGCTCCATAAAGCTGGCCACCAGGACTGTGGGGGCTGCAGGAGTCTGGTCTAAGCATAGGGAGGCAGAGACACCAGCTCTGCAAGAATCAGCCTCCCTCTTCTCCCTCCCACAGGAAGACTGTGTGTGTTCATGTGTTTGCAATTCCATGTGTGTGGGGGTGCACATGTACACATGCATGTGCATGTGGAGGCCACAGGACAACTCTGGGTGTCCTTCTTCCTCAAGCACTGTCCATTTTTGTGTTTTTACTTATATTTTTGTTTCATGTGTATCTGTGTTTTGCTTGCATGTAAGTGCATCCATAAGGGCACTGCCCATAGCAGCCAGAAGAGGGCATCAGAATCACTGGAACTGGAGTGCCAGTTGTTGGACAGTTAGACAGTTGTTAGCTGCCATGTGGGTGCTAGAACCAAACCAGGTCCTCTCCAAGAGCAGCCAGTGCTCTTTACCACTGAGCCATCTCTCCAGCTCCCATCTTGATATTTTTTGAGAGAAGTTCTCTTACTGGCCTAGGGTTTGCCTGATTAGGCTAGATTAGTTAGCCAGTGGACCCCAGAGAACCACCTGACTCTGCCTCCCCAGCACTGGGATTATAAACACTTTTTATTTTACATGGGTTCTGGGGATTGAACTCAGGTCCTCATGCTTGTGAGGTACACTGAGCCATCCCTCCAGCCCAGGACAACTTCTGAGTTGCCCACACTTCTGTTGCTTGCTCCTCTCCCCTTCTTTCTGCCAGCCACTCACCCCACAGCTCACTGACCTGCCTGTGGTGCAGCCACAGCAGTCTGCCTGTGGCCAAACCCTGGTGCCATTCTATCTTTACCTCTTTCACCACTGCTGGTTTTCTTCCCATCATGTGGGCGCTCCCTGTCATTTCTACCCACACACCTGTGAGGGACCCAGGGCCCAACCACACTACACTCTCTCCCTTATGGTCCTTGTCCACTCCAAAATGCACAAGGGCAGAACCCAAATCCACATCCAAGTGGCTCTCACCTCTGAGCTCGAGTTCCACTCACAACTACGCAGATGCAGATGTTCAACAAGCACCTCAGAATCCCTCATCCCAACAGTCCTGTTTCCTCCCCCTCCTGATCCTTGCCTTGAAAAACAGCGTTCTATCTAGCACCCTCCATGATCTATGCCTTTCTGCTGTACTACCCACAGCAGGCCATGCTGCATCCTCTGCAGCAGCTCTGAACCATCCCAGCCAATCCATCTCCTGCTCTCACCCTGGCTGAAGCTGCCATGGCCTCTCCTAGAGGTTCTTCTCCTCCCCACCCTTGTCCCACACAGAGTGTCAGGCCCCTCTGCTGAAATCCTCTGCTCAGTTCCTATCCCCTCTGAGCAGAATCCACCCAGTGCCTCACCTAGGGTGGGTAAGCTCCACAGTGAGGCCCTCTGGCCTGGCTTCATTCTTCCACTTGTTCCCATGGCTATCCACCACCTCAGCCAAAGTTATATGGTAGGTGAGGCCTTCCACCTTTTTGCATAGACCATGTCCAAGTCCTCTCCTCGCCCTCCAGATCTTGTGCCCATCATTACCACAGCAGTGGCCCATTCCCCAAGCTATCTTGTCATCACCCACTTTGTTATTTACTGTGCTCTTGGAACGCTCATCCTTCTGTGTACTTGCTTATGTCTCTCTACCCTGCAGACCGTCAGCCCCATGAGTATGGGGGCCATGGTCTTTTGTGAAAATGACACATACCTAATGGCTGACAGTGTCAGACACGAGAGACACTTTGGGTCTGTTAAATTAATGAAGCAATAAATGTGTGGAAGACATGCATGAACTGGGGTACACTCTGTTCTGAAGCTGTGGAGTGCAGCCCTCACCCTCGCTGACCCCACAGGCTGCCATATTCCTGGCAGGCAGCTCAGGCAGAGCTACCACTGACACCCACAGCCCCAGGTTCACACAAACCTGCAATGCGCAGGTGTCTCCCCCGTAGCTAAGGCCGGAGGTTGCCTCTGTGGGGCCAGGGCTTTGGAAACCCTTTTGCTTGGAGACAGAGAGGCTAGATTCTAGAAAGAGCAGGGCCACCAGAGTCTTGAGGCCCTGAGGAGGCAGTTGTGTTGGACCCTTCTGAGCACCCAGTGTCCTCAGTTCAAACCTTGCAGCTTGACTGCATGTGAGTGGAAGAAAGGTGACTGAGGTGATCATGTCATTGGGTGAATAGTCACAGCCAGAGGCAAGGGACCACCCAGCACTAGGTCCAGGGTGATCTATCTGTCCCTCATGGAGTTCAAGGTCCCTCAGGGGGAAGAGAAATGAGACACTAGGAAAGCAGAGGACAGGGAGCCTGTCCTGGTCAGAGGTCAGAAGGGCTCCAAGGAAATGACTGAGAAAAATGAAAACTTGCCAGGGGATGGGAACAGTTCACGCACAGGGAATAGCATGGGCCAAGGTCCTGAGGTGGGAAAAAGCACAAAAGACGGGAATTTTCAGTGGCTGGAGGAGCAGTTCTAGATGAGAGCGAGGGCTAGCTACAGAAGCCGCAGTGAGGACCTGGGAATGGAGCCCATGGAGAGTCAGGAGGGCCATTAAGCCAGAGAGAGACACGTTCAGAGTTTTGATTTGACCCAAAAGGAGGTACTAGTACACCAGGTGCTAGTCACAGCCCTGGCTCTATAAACTCTGGGCCAGCCTAGGGCAGGAGAACATGCAGGGTCCCTGGAGGGTAGAGAGAGGCTGAGAGAAGGCTCTGCCCTGAATCCTTCTGGGAAGCCCAGAACTGAAGACAGCTGGCCACCCCCATCCCCACCCCCAGCTCTGCCGCTCACCTCCATCTCATCGACCTGCCGCTGCAGCTGGACGCATAGTGTCTCCAGCTCCTCTTGCCTCTGAAGGGTCATGTTGCCACCTGTGAAAGATCGGGTGAGATTCAGCTGCCCCAACCTCCAGGTTGGCTGGTGCTCCTGAGAATGACTTCTGGCCTCAATCTCTCTGACCTCTCTCCTGAACCTGATAGGGGAAGGGAGTGCCTGGACTCTCAAGAGCCACCAATCCTTTTGTTCCCTTGGAGTGTGGCTCCTCCGTGCTTGGATGGTACACTGTGTGCTCAGGGCACTGGGTCACTCCAGCACTGTCCAAGAAGTATTGCTGCCCATCTCTGGTCCTAGCTGTCCAGACCCCACCACGAGTCAGCTTGGTGCTCTTGGAACCTTGATATCCAGAAGTCACTGTCTAAGTTCCCAGGAACCATGGGCCCAGGGGAGGTGCCCAGCCCAGGGCTTCTTACCCTGCTGCTGCTGGAGGGTCTTCACCAAATCCTCCAGGGCCAGGATCTTCTGGTCCTATAGCAGTGAGACTCAGTCTAAGTTTGAATGCTGATGGGTGCCAGAACCCCAGGGGATAGAAACCAGGTAAGCTTAAGCCCTTCCACATGTGACAGCCTATACCTTTTGCCTGTCCGGGGAGCATAAACCCTCATCCCTACCAAGTTTTGGTACAGCTTCTGTACCTCAGATAACCCTAAACTACTCACTAAGGTAAGGAAAGACACGGCCCATGTCTTGGGCTGGGTCAGGCTTGCCATCTCTGCTTGGCAGCCTGCTGCTCTACCCAGCTCAAGTTCTACTGGGCTCTGTTCTCTGCTCAGGTCCTAGGGACCCAGGTCAGTGGATGGCCATCAAACCAGGCAGTTCAGTGAGGACACAGTCCTCCCTGGCCGTTACCTGCCTGAGGTCCTACCTTGGACAGAATCTCATCGTTCTGGACCTGCACCTGCTGCTCCAGTTCCCGCAGCTTCCTCGCCATGGAGGTCATTGGCTCTGAGTCATGGAATACAGAGGCTGCCAAATAGACAAAGAGTGCAGGCCTGGAGCTGAGGTTGAGATACAGAGGGCCAGAGACAGGGAGAGGGCACCAAAAGCAGAAACCAAAGTACTAACAGGAGCTATCACGTTCATGATAGGGGCTACTTGAAGCTCTTTACACAAATCAGCTCATGCAATCCTCACAGTAGACCATGAAGTCAGTGGGTTCCTTCATGAAACTGGATGGGGTGCAGTAACAACCAAGGTGTGGAAGTCAGTGGTTGAACATATGGGTCACATCATCTTGAGTTGTGTGGGGCGTGGGGTGTGTGTGTGTGTGTAGTGTGTGCATATATATAGGTAGGGGGTTACACACTCCCAAGCACACACATACAGAAGCAGAGAATGATAGCTGAGTGTCTCTCCACCTTTCCTTTTTCGGGGCTGGGGATCAAACCTAGGGCTTTGTGTACATTAGGCAAATGCTCTACCACTAAGCCATTTCCCCAGCCCAATATCTTATTTTTCTGATGCAGGGTTTCTCACTAAACTTAAAACTTGCTGTTTTGGTTAGGCTGGCTAGTCAGCAAGCCCCCACAATCCACCTGTCTATGCCTCCCTTAACAATGGTGGGATTACAGGTGTGTATGGCCATGGCCTTTACGTGGGTGCCAGGGATTTGAACTTCGGTTCTCTTGCTTTCACAGCAAGTACTTTTGCCCAGCCAGCCATCTCCTTGCCATCAAGCCTGAAGATCTGAGCTCAGTTTCTGGGACCCACATAGTAGATGGAAAGAATAGACTCCTACAAGTTGTCCTCCGAGCTCCACATGCATGTACACATCCATAAACTACATACATATAAAAAGTTGTCTTTGATCTAACGGAGCCTCCAAATTCAGTTGCCAGTCTGCAGTTCATGCAATGGATAAGAGAGCAAGGCAAACACCGCTGTGGGCAAATCAATCAACATCTGTATTCTGTAACGTAAGTGGCTGGGACTCTTTTTAAACAGTCTATGTTGCCGGGTGTGGTAGCGCACGTCTTTAATCCCAGCACTCGGGAGGCAGAGGCAGGTGGAGCTCTGTGAGTTCGAGGCCAGCCTAGTCTACATAGTGAGTTCCAGGACAGCTGGGGCTACAGGGAGACCCTGTCTCAA